CCCACTCTGGCTGCTTTGCACTGGTTGCCCATCTGTTTCCGCATTGATTTCAAAGTGTTAATGATTACATATAAAGCCCTAAACAATTTGAGACCTCAATATCTGGCAGCTCATCTTCTCCCACCCAGATCTACCCGAATCACCCGACATAGCCAGCAGGGACGGCTGAGGGGTCTGACGCTGAGGGAGGCCCGGAAGGAAAAAACGAGAAACCGGGCCTTCTCGGCTGTGGCCCCTCGGCTGAGGAACACCCTCCCTACCGAAATTCGGCTGGCACCCTCGCTGGGCATTTTCAAAAGCCAGTTGAAAACTTGGCTATTCAAGCAGGCCTTCCCTCCAGTCAATTAAGTGATGCTTATTTTTTTTTCCCCTTTTGATCTATGCCGTCTTGGAACTGTTTACTTTAAATTAATTGTTAAAATTGTAAACTTATGAGTTATATCTTATATTGCCATGTTTTATCTATGTAAAACTGTGTATATTTTAAATTGTTTTTATTGTATATGTTGTGAGCCACCCAGAGTAGACTATGTCTAGGTGGGCGGTATATAAATGCAATAAATAAATAAATAAAATAAATATTCAGCATTTGGCTAAATACATTCTAGAATGTGGATGGTTTCAGATCCCTTTTCAGGCTGGGGAACATGGTACCCTCCAGATGTTGATGGAAGGCCAGTCCCATCGTCCTTTCCAAATGGTTACACTGGTTAAGGCTGAAGGCACCTGCAATCCAGCTGCATCTGGAGGCCTACACTTTTCTCACCCCAGGATGCATGATGAATTAGTCAAATCCCTTTACCTTCTCTTTTTCTCTGGGAGTACACATGCACAGTAGGCTGGAATGTAGCCATGTTGAGAAAGCCATCAAAGAAGAGAAATAGATTTTTAAAAGAAAAGAAACTTAAAAATCCTAGAGGAGCAGGCTCTAATGTCATTAATATCTGTCCTGCTCTGGCTGTGTCCCTGTGTTTTTTATCCAAAGTACTGCATTAAAAAAAGATTACCCTTTCATGACCTCCTGCTTTTCCTTTTCCACCCAAGAGAAAAAGAGGAAAGGGAGCCAGCAGGCTGGAGTTCAAATGCAAATAGACATGGCTTTGAAGACATTGTGGTATGCTTTGTCGGCTGTGTGTTTCTTCAGGGTGTATTAAGAGTCAGTGTAATGTGTCTGAAACCCTGGGACATTAAGGCGAGTGTAAGTCTAATAGAAGAAAGTCCAGACCTCGAGGAGGTAATGAGCTGCACCCTTGCAACTCGGAATTAACTTAAGCATCCATCTAATGGTAGATAAAGGCCACAGAACACCTGGAATATCAATTAATGATTTGCAGTTCACAACTACTGGCATCCAAGTGTGTGATCAAGAACTATTTCATTCTGGAAATACTTCAGCTCTAGCTTTACCGTTAGGTAGAGTGAGGCAGCTGTTTCAGGTGCTAGATGCAGAGGGATCTATCATGTGTTACGTGATGGTCAGCTGTTTCAGGTGCTAGATGCAGAGGGATGTGTTACGTGATGGTGTGCCCTATACTCCTTAAGCTTACCAAAAGCAAAAAATGCACAGCGTGCTGCTTATATACCACCCCATAGAACTTAAAGCACTCTCCGGGCAGTTGACAAGTTAATTATGCAGGCTACACATTGCCCCCCCCCCAGCAAGCTGGGTACTCATTTTACTGACCTCGGAAGGATAGAAGGCTGAGTCAACCTTGAGCCGGCTACCTGGGATCTGAACCCCAGTTCATGAGCACAGTTTTGGTTGCAGTACAGTGGTTTAACTACTGCACCAGGAGTCTCCTCTACTTCCTTCAGTTGCACTGGGCAACACCATCCTGTTACCTGTACTGAAATAACTGGTTCAGCTGCCACTCAGGTCAGTTTATACCTGTACAAAGACACAGTCAGGACTTCAGGCAGCTCTGCTTAGCTTAATCTGTGCTAAAATCTACTATCGTCTGGAAATAGGCTGAAATAAACCTTTAGTTACACGGACCTATCAAGTCCCAGTCCAACACTGCACCAGTTCTCATCCTACATTCATCACCAGCTTCATTTGAGGGCCTCAATTTCCAGTGTTACAGCCTATAGATATGTAATTTCCATCTTTCTCATGTCATCATTACCTAATTATTTCCCCCCACCAACATCAAAGAGCCTGAAATATTTTAACCTTTCCTCATGAAAGATTTACCCCAGCCCTTGAATATTGAGATACAGTGATTAGAATTATAGCCACTTTTCTGAGCATGGTCACCACACAGATTTGCACAAAAAAATGTATCTGCTTAAGTTTCATTCATGTTCAGATGTCATAACCTCCGCATAGGTAGGCTGTAAAATTGACAGGATAAGATTCACATGACTTCAGCTGAGAGGAGTGATATCTAGAACTCCAAAAATGTCTTTACAATTTTCTTTGATTCGTGGTGCCCCACAGCCACTGTTCTAAAGCATCAATGTGCTCTTCCACCCATTCCATGACACTGAGGTACTTCCTTTGAAATACTATAGCTTGTGTGCTTCCTAGCTTCTCAGCCAGGGGAGCTGCATGGAGCAAATTCCGGGTGGATTTCTGGGATCTTACATGTTTTATTGTGGCATGCACGTCCAGCCACTTACTAGCAGTGGCTGTGTAGTTGTCCAACAACTCTTCTAGAATTCTGACATGGTCTTCTAAGTGATGGGTTTGGTTTTCAATATATTCTTGCACAGAACTGCCCACATCATCACCTTGCCTCCCCCAAGCTCTGTAGATTATCGGTGGAGCTTCCTCCAACCATTTGTACAAGGTGACATTTGGATCCTCCAGCCACATGTCTGCTTTATTCATGTATTCATCCCAATAGTTGTCATGGAGTAGGATGTCTCTGCCCAACATATAGTCAGAATCTTTGATGTATCTGTCATGAAATTTCTGGAGAGTCCAAAAATATAGATTGAGCCATACATTGAGATCTGTGGTATGCTCTTCCAGCCACTCCTGCAAGTTCTTGATATGATCACTCAGTAGCTTATCAAAAGCCTCCAATTGCCATTCCATCCAGGTGTCAAGTTGTTGCAACAGAAGCTCTATCAGCAGAACATGGTCTTCAAATCTTTCTCCTGCTGTCTGGCGAGTGCAATGCATAGAAGAAGAATATAGACTGAGTTATTCATAATATCACAGATATATGTGTTCATGTGTATGTAAATCTATTGTTTTTCGCTTGTTTCTGAAAGTTTGTTTGGTGGGTATGTTTGTTTGTCTCTAAAGATCTCCAAAACAATAACGCCCAGAAACAGCAAAATTTGCAAAGATATGACTGATTTTCAGACATAAATAACTAGTTGGGTGACATCTCAAAAATCTGTTACCTCATAGACCCTTTTTAATTGATTGGTAAGTTGTTTGATTACTCCTGAAGGATCTGTGACATGCTTAAGAACTAGAAACAAAAAATATCATAGCCACAACTATGTACTAAACTGGACACACCTCAAAATTAGTTCCTTCACCGTCCCTTTTACTTGTTTATTTAAAAAGATATCCAAAACGCTAAGAGTTAGAAACCAACAAGTCTGAACAGATACCTCTGTATTCCAAATTAAGTAACGAGATTGATTGTATCTAAAAATTAGTTTCTCCACAGTTCTAGTTGGGCTCACTAATTATTAGCTTTCAGCAGGAATTTGCTGGACACGTCAGTTAACCTAGTACAAGCTGAATGACTACTAGGGTGGAAAGAGAAAGAGGGGCCGGTGTTAAAGAAAGGAGGAGAAAGAAGAGAGATGAGGGACTTGTGCATTTTTAACTTGGGCAAAACTATATACATTCTAATTTTTAAATGAAAATTTTAATTTATGATTTCATTATATTTACTTAATTCAGTTATACTGTATGCCACCTATAAGCCCGTTGGAAAAAAGGTGGAGTAAAATTTCACCTCAATAAATGAAGTCTATGCACTTAGTTGCATATACACATGCAAGAACAATTTTCAGTTTCAACCTCTGATAGAGGGAAATTTTTTAAGTTTTGTGTTTCATCATGTTTCTCTTTTTAAAAAACTTTTTCTTTCACTACACCAAAATACTTTTCATTAAAAGTCTCAACTATGGTCACCAGCATCTTAAGGGCCAAAACTTGAGACCAGAGAGTGGACACATGTGATGCCGTAGAGTGAGACTATGTGATATCAGAGAGGTAGAGCAGACAGGGATGCAAGGGAGAGAAGTTCTTTCCCCCAAGGTCTACCAGAGCATGTGTACCAAGAAGTTTCATGAGTCACAGCTGTGGTGCTCCACTCCTTCACTCAATGTAACAGTAGAACCAATGTTGGCATGCCAAAAAGCCACATAACAATACCCTGAGAGTTCTGTTGGCTCCCTGAGACCTGGTAACCCTGTTCACAACAATTTCCCAAGACAGTTCCCTTCCACTTTGTGAGGAAAGCAGCTAGACTCAGAGAGCACAGGGAAGTCTATGGTGGCTGGCTGGTAGTGCCATTGTCCTTCCTTAAGAAAAACTATGTACTTTGACCCCGCAACTCATAGTTCCACTAAAGCAGTAGGAACTCTCTGAGACAATTCTGAGGCACAAAGAAAGAGACCTTGAAAAATTCCATACGATCAACTGAGTACAGAAACAGAACATTTGTTGGGTTTTTTTTTCCTAGCTAAAACTCAAGTTGTTTATTGCACAGAGGAATGGCCAGGTCTCCCATCAGAAAAGGTAAGGAATCTGCCTTGGGCAGTAAAAGAAGGGAGGCAAAAGTGGCAGGCATTTGCTTGGCCACTGTGGGAAGGACCATGCTAGACTAGAGAAGCTTTATTCTGTCTATTCTTGATCTAGCATGATCCCCCTCTTTTCTTGTCATGAGGTAAACAGTGAACTGATGAACCAAGGTGTGGTTCATTCAGTTAGAAGTTCAGAAAATTGTGACTTGTGGAATTTGATGACCCATGAGCCAAGGTGAGCCACCATTTTGCTGGTTTGTGCCCATCTCTACCCCTGGGAGAAGATCCCACCTGTGTACACCTGGGCAAGCTACATAGACCCAGGGCAGGCACCAGAAGAAAAGAACGTTAACCACCTTGGGATACTTTATACCTAGTAAACTCTGAGAAGTGTCATCATAACTTGGAATCTACTTGATGGCGTGCAATTATCTCTATAGGATCAGGGCCTGGACTTCATAATTTACCACTACATTGCTGGACACCAAATTTCCATTGGTGAGGCATGGCAATGGCATAATAACAGCTTTCCCTGGAAGCACACCAAATCTGATAGGAAAGCAAGGTCATCCCTGTATTATTTTGTTGGAGATGGGGAGGAGCCCATCTTGAAAGCAAGCCCATTGGCCCATTTTCAATTCAAATACAAGCATCGTTCTCTGAAAGACAGGATGCACACATTCAGTTGTTTGGCAGTACTAAACCATACCTGAAGAGAGTGGTACCACACGTGGCTGTCACTACGAGGGTTGCTCCAGGCACTCCAACTTCTTCCTAGCTCCAAGGAAAGAGAGGATTCAGAAGCTGTTGCATATCACTCTTGTTTCGCAAAGGGACATTAGGGAAGCCATTGGGTTGAGCTGGTGCTGAAGGAAAGAGAGAACAGTCTTTCCAAGATGGGGATAACTGTTGTGGACGTGTAGAACAGTCTTTCCCCATCTTGGGAGTCTTTAGGATGTAGCTGGACTCAAAACCCCCCATCCCCTTAAACAATGATCATGCTAGCTGAGGCAGATGGGTTTCAGAGTCTGGAAGGAACCAGGTGTGGGAGACACAGTTTAGAGATCCAGTTTAGAAGCACAAAACAATTGGCTTCATTTGTGTGCAAGGATGAAAAGTGAGTACAGTGGACCCTCTACTTAAGGAATTAATCCGTATTGGAATGGTGGCTGCAAGTCGAAAAGTCTGTAAGTCGAATCTCCATTGACCTACCATGCACTGAAAACCGATTAATCCCATAACCAGTGGTTTTTATTCAATTTTTACTCCATTTTGGTTTTTTTCTGGTCTGTAAGTCGATTCTCTGGCTGCAAGTCGAATCTAAATTTTGCAGCCAGAAAAGTCTATAACTCGAAAAGTCTGTAAGTCGAGCCGTCTGTAAGTCGAGGGTCCACTGTAGTTCAAAAACATGGCCAGATAGCCCCAAAAAACCTACAACAACCATTGGATGCCGGCTGTGAAAGCCTTCGAGAATACAGTTCAATTTTTACTTCTGACTTTGAGAATCACATTTTTAGTCTGCTGTATGGCACTAGAGAATGTTAAAGCATGTTTAATGTTTAGCCAAGTGAAGACCAGGATAAATAGTGAAACAAAAAATCACTGTGTATAGAACTGTCATCTGTATGAACTTTAAATGGAGGATCCACTCTACATGACAGCTTAATATAGGGTACTTTTCTATGTAGTGGACTAGAACTGACAGAAAAGTCTACCATCCCATGTGCATGTTTATAAAATGGAATTTCCACTCAGCACAGTGTGGCTGGCAAATAGACCCACACAGAGTAGTATTGCCAACCTTTATGAACATAGGCGTTCATCCCTTTCTCTTCATGTACAGTTCTAAGCAATAGAGAGTTTGCTGTTAGCTGTCTTCCTGGACATGAAGGGTAGTGCTGATACAAAGGGCTTGGAGGAGCTTCCGTCCAAGGATTTGTTGCCATATTATACTCAGCTGGGGAGATTTGCTTCATGTGCATAGTTCAGAGGAGAGAGAATTATCCGCTCAGTTTGTCATGTACTCTGTTTACTTTTTATTGTGCTAGTTTTAGATGTAATTTGTATTTGGCAAAGCTAGCAAAGCTGTAAATAAAGAAAAAGCAAAGGCACATCACAGGCCCAGTTGCCAAGTCTATCAGGCATTGATCTATTTGCGTAAACAGCTGAGGTGGCTACATTTCAAGACACTTGAAGCTGCACAGTGGATGGCCCTGTGAAAAGTGCTACCAGCAGCAAGAGGGAAACGCTCAACGATTGCTTGCTGTCTCGCTCTCTCCTGCCTCTCTGCTTGTTATAATTCTTTCAGGTGTTCTGAGCTGAATCGTAAGGATGAAAACTATCCCCAATGTTAAAGGACGTTCCAGACTGGAGCCCTAGCATGGCCTGTGGCTATTCTCTCAGCAGGGATAGGAAAAAGTATTTCCATGGAGAACACCTCTTAGAATCTCACAGCTGGCATGGTCAGTGGTTACGATATTCTTGGAATTGGGCAGCAGCGCTCCAAATTCTTGAGCCAAATGGTCTCCTTTGGTAGGAACTTTAAGTCGAGTTGCCAGGGATTGTATTTAGAACCTTCTGCTGTCACGAAGGCCGAACAAAACAGGATGCTAAATGCAGGAATGCATTTAAGGGGATTTTATGTCTCCCTTTAAAAAATAATTACGTGGGGGAATAGTGTTAGCCATTTCTCCCTATCATGTTCACAAAGGAAAAAAATAAAGCTGTTCTCTCAAATTTCTATTGGTTTAGAGAAGAAACCTCTTGTTGGTTGGACTTTATCCGAAGGAGTTAATTTTTTTAGTCTTGGCCGTGGCAAATTAAACAACACTCACCAGGAAGGAGGATTAGCAAATGCAGCACCAAAAGTGGTAGCATCGGCATTGCAAACGTACTGTAAGCACACCTGTAGTGGCCAGATAGAAGATCCAGCAGTCTTTTTCTTAGATGAGATCCAGACTGTTCTTGCCAAGACTCATGTATATCGATAGCCTTTTAAGAATAGAAGCAGCCGAGTGTTATTTTGCTGAGAGTATGTTGACTGGAAAAAAGCTACAGTAATTTGAAACACAAATTTTTAAGGACAGCTCTACCTATGTAAGGAACAATATGACCAATGATGTACAAGGCTGACCCAGTCAGCTTTGTGATGTAAATCTTTCATTGTGTTTTACATCTGTGAGAAATGCCCCCATCTCTAGTCAGCATGTTCATCATGTTTTGGAGGTTTGTTGTCTTACTCTTCACCAGTCTCGCATTTATTTAACAGCAGTTTAAACCCAGGAGGCCTATCACCAAGGCTATCCCGGCTATTTGGAGACAGTCTGGGGCAATCAACACTTTTGTCTCATTGATGTCTTCATTCCTCTATCATTTCTGTGGTTGTCCTTGCAACCCTACCTCTTTTGAAAACAAGAGTCCTGCAGCAGACAGCAACCTCATCACCAGAACTTGAATGAACACATTTAGGCAGGTAACAGATATAATCAGTTCTTAAAAACAAAACAAAAAACCCTCTGGTTTATAACTGTGGGATATTGTGCTTCTGTATCTATAATTCAGAATGCCAGGAAATAGCCAGATATTGCTGCCAGCAGGAAAATTGATGCAGAACTTTACATAGCAAAAGGCAGCCTGAATATCAACAAAACCAATGGCAGGAGTCCAGATGGTCTACTCTACTGCAGTGGTTCCTAAACTTGGGTATCCCAGGTGATCTTGGACTGCAATTCCCAGAAGCCTTCGCCACCAGCTGGGCTGGCCAGTGTTTCTGGGAGTTGCAGTCCAAGAACACCTAGTGTTCTACAAGGTTTGGATCCACTGGTCAGCAGAATATCCTCTTGTGTTCGCTACCATTCAGAAAGTGACACTAAGGGAAAACCCCAGAAACAGACACCTTTTTTCATCAGTTAACCACTTCTCACCCAAACACAATGTAATTATCAGCGCTGCTTTTCAAGAAGGGTGAATGGTTTTATCTTCTTTTTCTTCTCACTTGCCCCTCCCCTTCTTTATCTCAGAGAAAACATCTTCCAGGGGCTTTTCAGTTCAGCTCCGAAAAGGTCCTGGACAATTAACATATTAATTTATAAATTAAATTTACACCCTACCTTTCACTCAAAAATGTTATTCAAGGCAGTTAATTCTAGACCCTCCAAATGTGAAAAGACAAACAGGGTCATATATAGCAGGAACCCCCAATCCCCGGTCCGTGGCCCGGTGTCGGACCATGGGCTTCCCAGGACTGAGCTGCAGAGATGGATCTACCCCCAAGTCCCCTGCAAGCACACACACTGCAAGCACGACACGCCCACCCGTGAGTATGGGGGTGTCCCCTGGAGCATGGAGCCCGCCACCCCCAAATCAGTCCACACTTTCAAAAAGGTTTGGGGCTGCTAATATATAGTACTCTTGTTTATGTGGCTATAGGTTTAATTTCTCTCCATGGTCTGTCCTGAAAAATATATCCTTACCGGTTTATTACTGTTTACTAGCAGAATAGTGAGAACTTATATTCTTTTGTCGTCCTTTTTCCTTTGAGTGGGCTCTTGTGCCAAGTGGTTTTGTTCTCTGCCTCACCACCACCCAGTTCTGCTTAACTCCTTGATGTGGTCCCCATGACAACTAGTAAAGTCATAAAGGCCAATACCACTAGGTGTAAGGATTATGGGAAAGACATGTGCAGACCACATGCAAAGGAGGATAGGATTACATGAAACAGGAAAGGATTTAAAGGTTGTTCTGGATTTTTCGTGCTCTTTGGCCGTGTTCTGAAGGTTGTTCTTCCTGATGTTTCACCAGTCTCTGTGGCCGGCATCTTCAGAGGACAGCAACCTGTACTCTGAAGATGTACAAGGATTTAAAATTGGCTCTGTCTTTTTAAAAGACCTTTTCAAAATTCACAACTATTTTCATAAATTCGGTAGAAAAAATTTGCAATTTTTTTAAAAAAAATTGAATGTGGTAAAAAGTATCACTGATAAGATTTCCTTACCTGGTCCCAAGCTCTTAATAGTCTAATTTTGATTTCAGACATGATAGTAGTGCTGAATTAATTACCACTACTGTACTTTGTTTTTTGGTCCCATCAGGTTTGTTATCTTTAACAGCTCCATGGCAGATAGATACACAGAGAATAGCTATGGCTATTTAATTTCTATAGCCTCTCTACTGAAGCATCATTTTTTCATAAGAGCTTTCTGAAATTTGCACACATTGTCCAAAATCCTATTGATGTCCATAAAGAGTCTGCATGGCTAACTGCAGCTAACTAATACTAAGATGTTTCTTAGTTATGCAATTGGAGCATGGCCAGGCACATAACCAACATGCACTGTAGCACTTCATCAATCAGTTGTTCCATGCTACACAAACCTTAGGTGAATAACTCATAGCTTCTGGTAATTTTTTCATAAGCATGATAAACAGAACTTGGAATTTAAACAGTTCAAATATGGGAGTAAGCAAAACTGAACACATTCTGCATCTTGATGCTAGCTTTCCACACTGTCTTTCTTATTTCCATCCAAACACTGTAATATGTTTTAAAATACCGCTCCTTTCTATTTAATAGAAGACACAGTATTCCTTAATTCAGCTTCTGAATCAGACAGAAAACATTTGCAAAAATGTTCTCCAATTGATGGGAGATGAATTCAAACAGATAAACAATTGCTGTTTAAGAAAAAGTACTAAGTGCTGGTTCATGCTGGGGTTTGTGGAACTACAATAGTAACTAACTGCTTTTAAAAAACAACCTTCCAAGCTTATTTTGTTCATTCTGCTGTATCACACCAACTTATTGATGGCAACAAATGTGCCAACAAGAAAAAAAACACAATACTGTAGTTTGAAATCATTTTCAGGATACACTTTTATTCTTAGTTGAATTGTTCGAATCCTACTGATTTTTGTTTTCTTTTGTTGGGATATCTGTAAGAAACATCTCCCCCCTTTGGAGGGGTATGACTGAACTTTTCAGATATGATTGAACTCCTATAACCTCCAGACAGCATGGCCAAGAGGTCATGGATAAGACTTCTGGTCCAATATCTGTAGAGTCACAAGTTCCCCATATATGTCAGAATATGGCATCCGATGCCATGTTGCCATATTATAGGTTCTGCATGCTTGACAAAAAGATATAATGTTAAAAAAAAAACACCAAATAGGCTTGTAGTAATCGTATCCACTGATTAGGGATACTGGCAATTTATCGTAGGCTCCTGGGGTCAATATAAAAGTCTCATCCTCAATTAAGACATGAGGTAAATCTGCTTCCCCCCTCCACTTTCTTGTGAAAAAAGTGGTGAGGAAAAGCACTTCCCTTCAAGAAAGTGGAGGGCAAAAGCAGGAATCAAAGCGCTTTGATCCCCTCCATTTTCTTGCAAAGAAAATAATTTGGGGTTTTAGAAAAGTGTGTGTGTGGGTTCTTATACATGGGGGACATCTTATACAGAGAAAAATATGGTATTTCATTGTTGGTATTGAAGTGGAATTTACCTTGGAGGCCAGTCAGGTTCTGCATATGCAGCAGCATGTGCTGGGTTGGCCCAGGTCCCTGATATTGGGGACAAACAAAAGGAAAAAAAATTCAGGCCATGAAGGCAACATCTTCGTGTTCTGCTTCTAAACATTCAAGACAAGATACATTTGGCTGATCTCGATGATGGAACTGTGGAAGAGATATTTCATTGGTCTCACTTAGAATGTCTTTTCATCTTACATTTTACATAAGTAAAAGTCAGTTACTCAGTGTTAGCTTCAGTGTTGCATGTTGTTAGGGCTTAATTCAATTTACACCCACTTTCCTTTTCCATCCTGATGGTTTGAAATAATATCAGCTGTGGCTACCACACTACGTCTGTCCAGCAGTAAGTGCCAGCAGCACCTCCTTCTTGTTGTTTTGTCTCTGACCCTCCATCAGTGAGGAGCAGCAACACTGAATTCTGCTTCCACTTAGCTCTGGCCCTTTGCCATGCGACCAGCCCTACTGGTAGGGCCGTTTGCCGAGACAGACGACGTACCTTGATATTCAACCCTCCTCTTTCTGGGACTGCCAAAAGCTCTCTTGGTTATTGTTCTGGGCAGCCCATGTCCTTGGCGTGGGTCATTTCTTTCGATTAGAATTTCAAGATCAGACATCAAGGCCATTTTCCACTTTAAAAAGTTCTAAAAAATCTCCGACACAGACACATTCACAAGAGGTGGTGGATAGGGATGGAGGGAAGGAGAAGCAGCATTAACATTTGGAAAGTATGTTTAGAATGTTTTGGTGGGAGGCAGGAAAAGGAACAACAAAGGCTCTTGGCTCCATAGCTCTTCCATTCTGCTGCTGGCGAGTCTCAGAGGGTTATATTCCAGAATGTCTGCGAGTGAATGAATCACACCATGCTCTTGGGAACCCTTGCAACCACATTCATTATTTTACACAGGGCATCAGACATCACCTGTCGATGAAGGGAGTGGAAAACTTTGCAGTTTCTAAAGCTCACCTCATTATACCACAGTGTGCAATTAGCCATGTGTATGCATTTAATGACTCCCTGGAGGAAGTCCGCGCACGAGAGAGAAAAAATCAGGCATGCTTGTGCAATTCACAACATCATTTGCTGTTGACAGCGAGACTGTTTTGGAGATTAACATACTACCCAGATTTTTTTAAGTGTTCACGGCCAACCAGATTGGTTTCTGGCATAAAAACGAGTGAAGGCTAGAACATTCTTTTTAAATTTTTCTACCTGGAATAAAAACAATTTTTGCTATTTCAGAGATATACATATCTATCAAAGACTGAAATTCTTGAAATTGTCTTGGTTCTTTCTAACATGTGGTTCTGCAGTTGTTTATGTACTTCCCATAGACTAGAATACACAACACACACTGTTTTTGACTTTTGGATATTGTCCTTTTAATGATGTGACCCATCTTGGGTCCTTCCAAGGAGAAAGGAGGGGGGAAATATTTTAAATAAAGAAATAATAATTTAAAACGTGTGGGGTTTTGCACACTTTTTTTGTGTAGGCCTGTGAAGAGTTACTTAGAGGTAACTCCACTTGTTCAATTTTAGGTGTTTAGCATTGCAGTGCTAACAAACATTATGCTCCAAACCAAAAGGCATTCTTATCTTAACATAATGCAATCATTTTCTATTATCTAACATATGTTCACATGTATTTAGAAGAAATAAGAAGCATGGGCTGAGTGGCCTTCTTTCATACTCAACACCAATATGCCATAGATACCGTCTCACTCCACACTCCTGTACTTTGCTAGGCGGAAACATGTCAACTTGAGCTTGGTGGGGTTTTCTATCCAGTATATATGTTCAGGACTGCAGCTTAAATCTCAGTTCCTCATAGGCAAAAAGCAATTGCTGGTGGTAAATGAGTTCAAGGTACCATATGGGTACCTTGATGACAGAAAGTAAGGAGGAATTAAAGAACCTTGTAATGAGGGTGAAAGAGGAGAGTGCAAAAAACGGTCTGAAACTCAACATCAAAAAAAATAAGATCATGGCCACTGGTCCCATCACCTCCTGGGAAATAGAAGGGGAATATATGGAGGCAGTGTCAGATTTTATCTTCCTGGGCTCCATGATCACTGCAGATGGAGACAGCAGCCAGGAAATTAAAAGACGCCTGCTTCTTGGGAGGAAAGCGATGACAAATCTCGACAGCATCTTAAAAAGCAGAGACATCACCTTGCCAACAAAAGTCCGAGGAGGCTGGAGGAGGCTCTTGAGAATCCCCTGGACTGCAAGGAGAACAAACCTATCAATTCTGAAGGAAATCAACCCTGAATGCTCACTGGAAGGACAGATCCTGAAGCTGAGGCTTCAATACTTTGGCCATCTCATGAGAAGAGAAGACTCCTTGGAAAAGACCCTGCTGTTAGGAAAGTGTGATGGCAAGAGGAGAACGGGACGACCGAGGATGAGATGGCTGGACAGTGTCTGCGAAACAACCAACATGAATTTGACACAACTCCGGGAGGCAGTGGAAGACAGGAGGGCCTGGTGTGCTCTGGTCCATGGGGGCACGAAGAGTCGGACACGACTAAACGACTAAACAACGACGACCATATGGGAAATTAAGGAATACATAATGGCCAATGGCTCGTATTTTTATAGTGAAATTAGAACTACCAGACAAAGATCCAGATGTGCATTTGGTACCCAGTGACAGCAGAGCAGAGACTCTGCCTTCCGTTCGTTTAACCACTGCAGCCCGATGTGAACCTAAATCCTGATTGGGGAGTTTTCTTAGGTCTCCTGAATAGTTTTTTGTGCCACTTCCTGCCCCCCCCCGGGGCTTGCCATGACAAACCACTTTCCTCTAGAGATGGGCACTAATTAAAAAAAATGAATCATGACATTTGTTTAAAAATCACTAATTTGTTGATTCATATTCATAGGAATCAATGCCCTGATGAATCACAAATCAACAAAATTTTAGTGATTTTTGATTAGTTGATTCATTTTGCTATAAAATGGCCCACAAGGCACCTAGAGATGCAAAGTTTTCAGGGAAGCTTCCTCTGATTCTCCTCTGAAGCCCCTGCAAGTGTGGTAAAGATTGGGTGTAAGATGTTCGAGTTAA